GGTCTGTCTCAGTCATAATTTAATATAATAATATGAATGAGATAAAAATATATGAATTAAATCCAAATGATAAATATGATATTGTCAAGTGTCAAAATTATGATTTCTAATCTGATGAAATCACTTTTGAATTTAGTTTATTTTATGGGTCAAAGTTACAAATTTTACTATTTAAAATTGACATAACTTGAAATCTACAAATCAGATTGGTTTATAAAATGTACCGTTGGATTCGTCACTTCGAGACATATCCATAAATATAACTTTTTAACAAAAAGTTATTATTTTGAAAATCCATTTATTTTTAGTCAAACGTACAAATATTCCTTATTGGATAAAAACTACTTTTGTTTTATAATAAATTTTTGGCCATATTTTGTGGCGTTACATATCTTATGAGGCAACACCTTCTAGCATGATTGTGGGATGTCCGTGATCGCCACATATGAATTGACCTCGCTATGCATTAAGATAACTACGCCACACACAATGCATACGATCAATACTCCCAAACATGCCAAGAAATCATGTCTCACTTCATGGACGGCGAACAAATTTTAGACGTCTTTGTGAGTTGGTCTCCACAAATATTGTTTGTAGTATAACTCAATGGCCCATTTAACAAACTTGTACAAGCATTCTGCAAGTATCCTTGTAGTTGAATTGTCGCGGTGCACTTTTGTCAGGTACTATAACTCAACTTCTGTCTGACATCCGCCTGTAGAATAATAAAAGATATGCATGTGCCAAATCATCGACAATATGTAAGAAAATATGACGACTCATACGAAAGCAACGCCTAAACTATTTGTAATTCTAAACCAAATTTTCTGCAAAGTAATTGGCCATAAGTTGGTTGTAACCATCTATTGTAGTGTGCATAACATAATTATAGCAAAAAACATTATTACAATTTTAATTTATTGGGGATTAAAAAATGAAAATTGGAAATGATTTATATTTTTTTTTGTACCTATCTGGTCTTGTCGCAACAGTGGATTTCTTCTTGGCATCAACGTATTTTTGATTTTCCCATGTTCGGATAAAATTTGCCGCCTCCACGATCATGTTTATGAAAAAAGTTAATGCTTCATCCGAAGAGGAAGAAGTTATCATCGTATCAGATGAACGAGACAACATTGTGGCAAAATCAGATAAATGGTGTGGGGAAAGGTGTTTAAATAAGAATTTTTTTAAATTTTTAATTTTTATTCTTTTAATAAAAAACGATATGACTATTGAAATCGCCAGCTAGAATGCACAATGCCGGACAGGAAAATGGAGAGGGAGGTGTTCTCCTTCCCTTCCCGTTGCCACCTAGTTTCTCACGGACACACCCTACAACTTAATGAAGAAAGAATAAGGGAAGAATATGATGATGTGGAAGGGAAAATATGAGAGAAATTATTAAATATAGGCAGGGAGTATAAGAGTAGGAAGAGAATGGAGGAATAATATTCCTCTTGGGAGAGAAAAAAGTGATTGGTTTATTACTTTTGCATTTATATTTTAATTTTTATTTTTTTAGAAATAAGAGATGGCATGTGAGAAAAACTAATGAATAAAGTATTAGAGAAAGGTAGGAAAAGTGAAGGAAAAAGTGATGTGGCATTGAATATAGATGATGTGGCATTGAATATAGATGATGTGGGGGGATAGAGAATAACTGAATAAGTAGTTATAGAGACTCAATAAAAATGTATCTCATTTGTATACAAGAAATCTCTTTATCACATATCTTTAATATGCTCTCACTCTTCTTATCAATATTAAAAAATGTAGGGTGAGATTGGTGTTGTACAAATGGTGTACATTTTTGGTGCACCCTTAACCTTTTTGTAAGGAGAATAGAAGTTTTTTTTGCTACATGTAGGAACAATAATGAAGTGGCCCGATTTCATTTCTGGTTCTAAAATCGTTGGGACTGCTGTTACCCGATACTTATTTTATGGAAATTGGTACCGGTAAAGGATAGGAGCGGTTTTTAAACCGATTCTACTTTCAGTTTGATTCTGGATTAATTTCTTTTCTTGTTTTTTTGGTAAAAAATTGTATTTGACTCCATATTACTTTTTTGATTAAATTCCATGAAAAGTCGCTTATAACAAGTATTTTTTTCATATTTAGTCTTCAATCCTTGGATACTACATTCGTGGTCTTTAATTATTGAAAACTATTTCAGAATTACTCTTTGGGACTAAATGTGGTTAAAAAACATATTCAGTCAAATTTGGCCTAAAAGACTATTTATTATGACTATTTATGAAATTATTTTCAAAAATTGAAGATCACAATTGTAGCATCTTAGAATTATGAACTAAATATGGAAATCACATATTATGATAGATCATTTATAGAATTTAGGTTGCGTTTTGTTTGCCTGATCAAATCAAATTTGGTCCAATATGATCTGATTATAATATGAATAAGTAATAAGCAGAAAAAAACAAGTTGATCGAAACATTGTCTTATTCTTGTACTTTTACAAGTACATATTGTGAATCAAACATTCGAACTTAAACAAATTAAAAATAAGAATTGAAAAAAATATTCGTTGGTGTAGTCGCGGGAACTTTTTCAAAATATTTGTCACACTTACTTTTTCAGTAGTCGCGAGAACTTTTATTTATTTCTATATTTTCATTGGTTATTTGATAAAATAAAATATTCTTGACACCTCTTATTTCGAAGAACTTTTCATGTAGTTTTTTATTTGTAAATTTTATTTTTTATTTCTATACCAATATGTAAATAAAATGAATTGAAAAACCTGATATTTTGCCTCGGGAATATAAGTGTGACAAATATTTAGGGACGGAGGGAGTATAATCTAAAAACAAAATACTCCCTCCGTTCTTAAAAACACTTCCTCTTTTATTTTTTTCACTTCCAACAAAACACTTCCACTTTCTATTAAAAAACCACTTTTACCCTTACTTTTTCATACCCTACCTATCACATCATACCTTTTCTCTAATAATCTATCTATCACATCTTACTTTTACCTATCACATCAGGGGCAAAATTGGAAGTCAACTACTCCCTCCGTCCCAAATTATTTGTCACATTTTTATTACCGAGGCAAAATATCAAGTTTTTTCAATTCATTTTATTTACATATTGGTAAAGAAATAAAAAATAAAAATTACATATCAAAAAACTACATGAAAAGTTCTTCGAAATAAGAGGTGTCAAGAATATTTTAATTTATCAAATAACCAATGAAAACGTAGAAATAAACAAAAGTTCCCGCGACTGTTGAAAAAGCATATGTGACAAATAATTTGGGACAGAGGGAGTATAATTTAACACTCCTTATTTTTGCTCCAAGTCAAAATAAGGAGTCTTTTTGCAAACGGAGGGAGTAGTATTCTTGCACCTTCGTCCTAAATTTAGGCCTTGTTCTTTTGGATTGAAATTTTATAGTTGGTGTTGAAAAAAATTGAATTAAATTGGAAGAAACTGGAAGAGGATAGAGATGTTAGAAGAATTAAAGTGTTAAAAGAAGTTATTCAATTAAATGTTCACCCAAATAAATATGTAAGAAAATTAATCTAGATATAAAAAAGAATTCATCCATGTCCGTGTTTGAAGTGGCATGTTATAAATTTAGATGTATAAAATTATTGCGTCATATATAAATCATTTTTTTAAGTCATTGTTGGAAAAAACCTAAATGAGGGGAAAGAAACAGGAAACGGTTTGAAAAAACTAGAATAAGTTGGAAGGAATTAAGAGTTAAATTTTGCAACTCAAAAGAACTTGACCTAAGTTGCCTGTTCATTATCCACATTATCAAACTTCATTTACTTGCTTTTTCTATTTTGTTACTCATTTGATAAAATTATATAGCTACGTGACATCTAGTTTCGTAGTACTTTTGATGTAGTTTTTAAATATATAAATTTTATTTTTTTATTACACCCCAATTTCCAAATAAATTATTTTGAAAATAACTTCAGCCGACATTGTAATCCAAACAGACGATTTAAATTGAGATGGAAGAAATAATATTTATATATACGGAGTATATAAATACTCTAAGTAGATAATCCCGAGTAATGTTTAAAATATTACGTATATTACAGATCGTGAGAAACCTAACCAAAAAATATTATAGAACAAATAAATTATTTCCTCCATCCCAGTGTATTTGTCCAGTTTGACTTTATCAAGTCAAATTGGATGAATTTTGATCAATAATTATTTCTATTTTGTGTTGCATATTAATACAATAAATTAAGGCAAATTATTGCATGGACCTAAGGTCCATGATAAACCTTCATATATGCTAAATAAGACGTATTTTCAAGTGTTGAAATAAGCATTTTTAAAATAAAAATAAATATGTGAGAAGGTCTATGTGGACCTTAGGTCCACCATAAAACCTTTCATAAATTAAAATTTTAATAGTTTTCAACAAGATAAATCCATTGAAATAATTTTTATACTAAAATAAATTAAATTTTTATTTAAATGAGTTTCAAAGTTAGTTTAATTTGACTAAAAATATCAAACTAAATGATTATATTAGGACCTGAGATAGTACTCCCTTCATCCTAAAATGATCTTCCCAGTTCGGTTTACGAGATTTGACTGAAATTTTTTTTAATTCAATTTATTCGATTATAGGTATAAAATTAAAATATATATATTTTAATTAAAACTACATCAAAAAATTTTATAAAACAAAAAGTGACATAACTATATTATTTTATCAAATAAATAATAAAAATAGGTAAAAAGGTGATTAAAGTTTAATTATATGATAGTGATTAAGAAGCTCATTTTGGTAGGAAGGGATTATTATTGATCTTAACGCGTATAAAATGAGTAAAAAAGAAGATGGGTTTATGATGGTGATGAGAGACAAATGCTCATTCCATATGGTATTTCTCAATGATGAGTGACACACGCTTAAAAAAGATCACCTTAGGCGCAATTGATGGCAGTTTAGATCTTAAAAAATTTCGTGGTTCGCTTTGATCATTAATATTTTTTATTTATATATTTTCTCCGTCTTTCTGTATTTGTCCACATTTGACTTTTGGAACTGTTCATCTAAGCACTTTGACTCATCAAATTTTCTCAATGTGTAAGCCTAAATATAGTCATTTGTGATCTTGTTTGATTTGTCTTAACATATAGATTATTAATATATAATTTTTATAATTTTTTAATATACAAATTATAAGATAAAATGGATTAAAGAAGTGCATTGGATGGTGTGTAAAAATAAAAAACTGGACAAATACAGGGAGACGGAGGGAGTATAATTTTATATTATAAAAATATGATATTTTAAACTTTACTTTAAAATGAATATATTTAAATAAAATGTATATCATGATTCAATATATTCTTTTAATATTTTATGGTTAAAGTTAGAAAACTTTGAAGGAGAAGAGACAAATAGAAAGATAATTGAGGGAGGGTGTGAGTATTTCTTAGTTCACACTCATGTTTATGTTCCAAATTCCAAGTAACAATGACCTAGTCTTGGAAGGAACAAACATGGTCTTTAGTCTTTACCCTAACCCCACAAATGACCCCTTTATCTCGGCTTTATTCTCTCTCAAACTTCACTAATTCAAAGCACTCCAAGTCACCAACCACACGATACAAACAACTTAAAAGTTGATAATTTAAAGTAGGCTCTGTTTGGTTTTGGTGGTTCGGTTTTCACTCAAAACTAAAGACACAATGGAAGGTAAGTTGGTGGTTCCTTTTGATTCGGTTTTGCATAAAAAATATGTAAACTGTTGGTTATTCAGTTCGGTTTTATTAGAGATTTTTTTTTAGTTTATAAAAGAAAAAATTTATAAGCATTAAAAATTGTAAAAATACTAACTCGATGAAGCAATAATAATATGTAGGGTTGAGTTTGGTTTTTTGGTTTGATTTTTACACAAAACCAAAACCGAACGGGAGGTTAGTGTTCTGTTCGATTCAATTTTACATAAAAATATGTATCGAGTGCCCAACACACATCTAGGAGATTACGAATATTCTCAAAGACATCGTATGTAAATAGGAGAATTCACATTTTTATTTGGAATAATATTTTAATTTCCATTATAATATCAAAGTTCTTTTATGTAAATATGTAAATTACTCGTATCAATTTTTAATGTTCATATAATTCTGTATTAGGATTAGCTATAGGCATTTATGTTCTCAGGTTATGTAAAGTTTATAATTTGGTTTAAAATATTTAATTAATAGTTAAGAAAATAACTATAATCAATTAAACAATTATTTGCATTTATATATCACATATACTCATATAAATAAAACGAAGTACCTAAGAAAATTTGGTTTATTCAGTTTGGTTCGGTATTCTGAAAGTAAAAACCAAAACGGAAACGAAACAACGACGATTCGGTTTGGTTTTTTACATTTGATTCTAGTTTTTTTTGTTCGGTTTTTTTCTAGCTTGTTTTAATCGGTTTCGATTCGGTTTGCGCTTTTCAGTTTTCCCAACCCAACCTAAATTTAAACTGGTGTAAAATCGTTACACCAGTGGCTTTGGAGCGCGTATGATGCTCCATGCGTAAAATTGGTGATTCCTACCACTCTCATAAACCCCTCAGACTCATCAATTTCACCTTGTCCTCACCCCAGCCTCCCCCTGCACCCTCTAGATCGCCGATTTGATGGGCCGAACGAGTCAATATGTGCGGGTCTACACAACATGAATGAGTGAAATGTCAAATTTAAAATGTGAGTACTTCTAGACTATCAAGTCTTTGGTCGTTATAAGCTTTTAAAAAAATCTTTGCATTGCATATGGTACTTGTCGGTGCACTGGAAGAAAATAAAGGTAAAAGTGAGTGAAAAAAATGGTCAACAACTTTAATGGGGCGCAATTGATGGCAATTTTTAGAGATAGATGTGCGTGATTTCTTAGTTCTCACTCATGCTTATGTTCTACCTTCCTTCAAATGGCCTACACTTGGAGGGAACATGGTCCTAAAGACCCCACAAATGACCCCTTTCTTTAAGCTTTATTCTACTTCAAATCTCACTAGTTCAAGTCACTAATCACACCATTGGAAAAAAAGCTAGCTCAAGTTTAAGTTAATAAGAGTGTTATTAAATTCGAACAAGCCGGAAGATTGATCAAACCAGTTTAGACTTTATTTCGTGTTTGGTTCCCAATTTGATTAGATATGTCTTTAGTCACACAGTTCACACTATTGAATTGTGGCTCGCATTTTTTATAACTTTCATATGGCTCATGCTCACGCAAAATACACCAAAATATTAGAAGTTACTATCACACAACCCTTTGCATAAGAATTTACTACCAATCAAATTTTTATACTTCATTTGTAATTAGAAAAAGGGGAATTAAATAAGACTAAAATATAATGACATTCTCAATATATGACCATATGTTTTTATTTTTCAATGTAGGACCATTGGTCATTATCCATTAGTCATTATTCAAGTAAATGTCCACTATCACTCGATATTATTCCTCCCATTAGACATTATTAAGTTCTATTTAGGGAATAAAAAAGTTTAAGTCCTATATTAGGAAAATACTTATGTTTTAGTCCTATTTACTACAAATTTTTCTTAGAATTCATGTGTGGAACTTATGTCAAAGTATGAATTACTTATTATGAGCATGTGGTATACTCCGTATTAATTAGGATGGAATCATTTTATGAGACTGAGAAAGCATGTGCAAGGATGATGTGATAGTGGTGTCAATATTACATAACTAATGCAGCTTTTTGTTCAATTTATTTTTTCTGTTTATTACTTTTTCTTATTATAATCAGATCAGATTAAAAAAACTGTAATTATAACTACTATACATTCAGATCAGACTAGATTAGTTCAGACGAGATCAGATGGACGGAAATCTTCACATCATTTCTCTTAGTGGGGTGAACTTACATTTCCCAATTTCCCATTATATTATATGGACTACTACAAGAATTAACACTATAATCCACTATATATATAGGGAGTATATCCATATATATGTTCAAGTTTCAAGAAGAATTGGTAGATCTTGTTTCATCAAGTAAGGTGACAAAAAATAAACTCCATGGACTGGTTTTCATGGCTTTGCAGAACAGGATTGGACCCCACACTGGTCTATGAATACGGTTCAGTCTTTGCCCAGAATCAGCTTGAGGAAGAAGACATTCCCCACTTCAACCATGAATTCCTCCAGAGCATGGGAATCTCCATAGCCAAACACAGGCTTGAAATCCTCAAGCTCGCCGCCAAGAACAAGCGCCGCCGCACTAAACCCATCTCCCGGCGGCTTCTTCTCGCCGTCAAACGCACCGGGAACTTTCTCTTTCAGTACTTTCGCCGTCTCAGCGAAGACTCTGCTCTCGCCATTGTTCCTGCAAAAACAGAGCAGAAAGCAGAGAAGAAGAAGAGGAGGAAGAAGAAGATGACGATGAAGAAGAAGAAGATGAAGAAGAAGAACGATTCTACGTTGTTGCTGATGTCTTGTAGTCCGAGGATTAGCAGTAGCTTTTCTGGGCAAATGGTTTGTGATCAGATGAAGAAGAAGAAGGTCAACAATGGCGGAGGAGGAGGAGGAGGAGATTGTTGGCCGTCTTCCAAGGTTGAAGAAGCAGAGATCAGATGGGATGCCATGTTCAAGAACTTGAAGCCAACTTGAAAAGGGTGTGATTCTTGATTGGTTGATGAAGAAATTAAGGTGAATTTATTTCTTTTCTTTCTTGTGTATTTTAACATCATTTAGGTATAGAAAAAACTCATCAAAAAACCGGAGGTCGATCTCGGGGAGAGGACGGGTCCCGGGTTTTTTCGGGTCGACCCGATTTTTTCCGGGTTGGACCGGAACGATTGTTTGTTCGGGTTGCGATTTGACCGGTCGGTCCACTCGGTCCGGTCCGGGTTTAATAACACTGCAAAATAAAAATGTTATTAAACCCATCAAATTAGATGAACATGACATGTGACCGCGGTGGTCATATAGATTTCGGTCTCATGGTGGTGTGTGATTTTCGACATGACATATGATCCATGTCGTTTTGATCATAGATTTTTTTTTGCTTTTAAGAGTTTGACTTTTTACATGTAAAAAGATATTATTTTGATAATTGATATCTTTATTTATAAATGAAGTATTTTTTTATAATACGGTTTTTCTCCATATTTTAGTGAGAAAACTTGATCAAAATATCATATAAGTCAGTGTCGAAACTAAAAAAAATACTCCCTAGTTGTAGCGGAATTAGGAGTACTACATTACAAAATCTTGTAATTTGTCTCATTTTTGTGTGGCGAACATTTGGCATTTTATTTTAGTTTGGTTTTTATTGCTTTGAATGATCGATTTGAATACATAATTTGTGAGTCTTAATGCTTGAATTCGTGGGCATTCAAACAAATATTTTTGATGAGTCATAGATCCGTCCCAAACAGGATGTCACATTTTCTTTTTCAATCATCACGAGAACTTTTATTTATTTGTACGCTTTCGAAAATTTTTCATGTAGTTTAAGTATGTAAATTTAATTTTTATTTCTATAACAATATTTAAATAAAATAAATTGAAAAAACTTCATATTTTGTCTCGTTTTACGAAATGTGGCAAACAATTTGGGACGAATGGAGTAATAAAATAGCAATTTGGGAAATTTACCTAAATGATACTAAAACATACGGAGTAGTAACTTTTCCAATGTAGTGCCATATGTTTTTATTTCTCAATGTATTACCAATGGTCATTGTCCATTAGTCATTGTTTAAATAAATGTCCACCATCACTTGACATTATTCCCACTACTAGATATTATTCAAATACTATTTAGGGAGTAAAAAAGTTTAAGTATTATATTGAGAAATAACATATCTTTATTACTACTTAGTGCAAATTTCACTAATCAATGCAACTTTGGAGAGACAGATGAATTATTCAAAGTTAGTCAATGCAACTTTCGAACATCTAATAGATGAGAGCTTTTGAAACATGAGGTCATATTCTTGTTTTTTGATGGAAAATGATTTCAAATGAAAAACGAGTTTGAGTGGCCAAGTGTATATACGTCTGTGAGAAAGCTTTCCTAAGTGGGTTTCTATATGTATATATCTATTTATGGGTGGGGTTCTCATGACATTGAAATTTCATGTCATTGGATCACCCGAGGACGTTCTTTTACTTTCAATACATATGAATTTATTTGAAGTGGTGCATAATTTGCGAGAAAGATTTGAAGAGTATGTCTCCACAAATTCATATTTGGGTTGGATTTAGATGAAGTTAAATTTGGCTTAAATATCTGGACGTGTCAAGCTTGCTTGCAAAATTATTGCCAAAGATCATGTTCATATTCGCCCATGAAGGCGATCCAAACGGACCACATTGCAACTCAGCCTGAAACATTTTATACACAACAACAATAATGAAACTTTATTTTGTAACTTTTTTATATACTCCATAAAAATGTTTTTTTAACACAATATATTAAAAATATTTGCATCTAATATTACTATTTTTTTTCATATAAAAATAAATATAGTATAGTTACAGCATGCATCAATTATAATTGCTTCAATTAATACACCAAAAAGATATATTTACATTATATATTATGAGTATTTATATGTTAATATAATAATATGGGCACCGTATAAGATGTGGGCGGGTTTGTTGCCCGGTAAAACTCAAACCCGTGCATCTTGTATTGGGGAGTCAGGTTAGCCCGGCCCACATGATGAGCTAACATTGTTGTCCACATCTACTAATTTTTAAGAATGGAGCACTAATTGATAGAGTAAATTTCATAATTAATCCTTTATAACAGGAGAGTTTCCATATTTAGTTTTTTATCATCACATATTAATCTTGTAGTCCTTCTTTTATGAATGTTTATAGTCCTTTTTGTAATCTTCTGTCATGTTAGTGTTAATTTAAAGACTAAAAGTATAAGTTGACTTTAAATTTATGTTCAGTGACGTATTCTGACATTGGTTAGACGAATAACACAAAATAACGATTATGATTATGAACTAGGATTTCGAGGAAAGACCACATCTGTAGACTATGGTTGTAGTGTAAATGAACTGTAATTCACAAGCGACACATCAGAAGTAGCCTTTGGGGTTGTGTATGACAAGAAATATATATTAACATTGTGAAATTACACTCTTAGCTTTCAAACTAACACCAACATGATAAAGATAAAAAAAGATCATTTGTGGAAAGATATCCATAGAATAAGGACTACTGGAGAATATTTGATAATAGAGGACTAAATATGATTATAGACCAATTATAAAGGATCAATTATGAAATTTTTCTCTAATTGATACATATATTAGATCTTTTGTACCTTTTCATTGTCCCAAAATAAAAGTGTGAGATTATAAAATAAAATTTATATACTTAAAAATTATATCAAAACATCTACAAAATTAAATGTAACAAGATTAATTTTCTTTTTGTTAAATAGTGATAAAAATAGGTTATTAAAGTGGATTAAGTTTAATCTAGTAAATACTCCATAGTAAACTGGTAAATAATTTTAGAATGGAGGCACTAGTAAATATAATCAGTGTCGTCTCCGAGAAATAGGGGATCCTGTACAACAAATGAGCCATTGTGTCATAATAAAGTAAAGTGTATCAATTAATTTATTTATCAAAAATTAATATTATACTAATAAGAATAACAAAATGTTAAATTCATAGTCTATTAAGATGTTTGGGAGAGGCTATTTGCAAAAATAGGAAATTTTAGACCGGCAATATGTTTTGAATGAAAATTTATTATCAACGAAAGAAAAAGTAGCCACTAGATAGTCTAGGATTCTCCCTATGGTTTTGGTTTTGAACTTTTGACTTTTGGTACAGTGTAGCTTACTTTTTTCCCCTCGTCGTCTCTAATTTGGATACAAATTACGATTTATGAGATGAAACCTCTTAACTTTTGAAATCATTTTATTTACGAATTAATACATTTTTAAAAAATAAAAATTACGTACTAAAAAACTATGTCAAAAATTCTATAAATGAAAGGTGAAAAGTAGGGGTGTAAACAGATATTAATCGAATCGGATGTGCCATTACCAAATCTGCAACCGTTTATTTTTAACGGATATCGAATTCGGATACGGATCTTGACGGATACTGAAAATCAAAACCGTATCCGCATCCGTCGGATATCGGTCGGATATTGGATATATCCGTATCTGTTTCCAATTTTTAAAATCAAATTAAAAAATATTTTATTTTTAAATTAGATTAAAGTCAAATTATTATTAAATCAACTATAATTTGTTATGAGATAGTTATTTTCTTTGTTTTCATGATTTCTCATATTCTACGATAACTTCATATGATAAAAAAAATACACAGCACATATATACACATATTTTTATATGTTTGTATATATTTTTATGTGCACACATTTATTTTGTATTTAAAAATGTCTTATATTTTGAAATATCAATAGAGAAACAAAATATAAACATAAAAATTAGGAAAAACTATATATAACGGATCAGATATTCGGATAAACGGTTATTTAAACGGATGCATATTCGGATCGGATTTTAAACGGATCGAATATACAATTACCAAATCCGTATCCGTTTAGTAATCGAATATCCTTAATCGGATACGGATAATATCCGTTTAAAACGGATGCGGATATTTCCTATTTAAATGGATGCGGATGCGGACGGTAATCGGATTTTCGGCTATCCGTTTACAGCCCTAGTGAAGAGTATTTTATTTTATCAAATAATCAATGAAAAAACACAAATAAAAAATTTACCAGGAAAAGAGAGAAAAAACAATATAATCTATTTCGGGACGGAGTTATTTTTTTATATAAATAAATATATGTATAATATATAACTAGGGCCCACTAAAATATTGGATCTTGTACCCATAATTTTTAGAACCGGACCGGGGACTGAACCGCTCAAGGTATTGGTTCACTGGTCAGACCGGTGTGTGTGTCTATATATATATATATATATATATATATATATATATATATATATATATATATATATATATTATATAGGGGCTGGTTCAAGTGAGAATGCACCTTGGTGAAAGAAATAAGACTAAAATCTGGCCTTTGGATCTGATGCATCGTGCGGCTCAGATTGCATTCTGCATTCAAATTTTGAGATAGTGCATTTTCAAAAGATTATGGTGCATTTCGACATGATGCATTTTCAAACCATCTTGGTGCACCTAATTTTGATGCAATCCTAACTCTTAGATCTCCCAATCTAATGAACCAGATTCATTCTTATTTCTTTCATTAGATTGCATTCTCACCTGAACCAAAATCTATATATATATATAAACACTTAAAAAATAATATTTAATGAAATAATATTTCCTTTACCTATAAATAAAGAATTTATGATGTATCACTAAATTTATAAGCAATTTAATTATTTGAGCAGTAGCCTTAAATTGAAACAAATGTGTATTTAAACAAATAAAAAAATTATTAAAGAAGAGGTGATATTAATTTTTTTATAATTTACACAATTTTTTAAAAAAAATATTTAAATAAGTTAATATTTTTGTGATATGAAGTTTATATTAGAACCTATTGCTTCAATATTTTAGACACACACACTTCTTCATTTATAAATAACTAAAGTAAGTAATTTATAACATTTGACTTATTGACTAAAATTATATTAATAACTTGAGTCGTTTTACTAAGTTAAAAAACAAAATTTATGTATTTAAAAAAAAAATTAAAAATTTTATAAGTGTAGACTTAATTTTATTTTTTTCAAATAAGTTGTTTAATATTTAAAAACACTCAAATGAAATATTTGCATGATATGCATCTTGTAATACTATCAATTATATCAATTATATTTTTAAAAATAAAAAGAAATCTTGAGACAACCTTTTTTTAATTATGAAATATTATAAAAGATTAAGTGAACTTGTAAAAATCATTATTAGATGGTAGGAACTTAACTATAAATATCTAAAAGATCTTGAGTTCAAACCCCCATAGTATTTGTTTTTGGGGGAAAAATACAAAAATTCGCAAAAAAAAAATGTCCGGACTGGTTCGACTGACCGGTTCACACCGGTTCAATGCAGGTAACGGTCCAAAGGGTCGGACCGGACCGATTGGACCACCGGTTCGCTGGTTCACGGTCTGAACCGGCCGGTCCGGTCCGGTTTTTAAAACTATGCTTGTACCTATAACACTCTGCCCCTTACCATAGTCGCCGTAAATATAATTGTGTAAAATAAGAGGTAATCTTAAGTAATTATGAATTCATACAACTTTTTAAATGTAGAATGTGAAGTGTATATAACCAATGACCATAATAATGTCACACCAAATGTGACAAAAAACTTTGACATGATCTACTTCATCTATATATATAAACAATTATTACATGGGTTCTACACTTCTACTAGTCATTCTTATAAGTTTATTTGTAAACCTTATAAAATTAAACTTAGTGTTAAAATAGATTTGACCATGTGGATCCGATTATATGGGTTACACACGGATTGGGAATTCGGGCCGCTTAATATATGCGAAGAACTCCGTATGTTGGGTAAGATAAGTCGCTAAAAATCTATGAGCTCGTTGATGGGCCAAGTACAGACCTCTATAGAGGTATTTCTTGGGTCGAGCCCAATAATTTGATGAGCTCATCAATTCCGATCATGCAACCACTCAAGCCCATCTTTAGCCATTGTCCAACCCAAGCACAATAAGCCTGGCCTTCTATCACACACCCAACCTCAAACGTCGCCTGTGGATTAATGATAAATGGCCTTTAAAGTTAGAGAACTCTACCACAATGTCCTCATGTGAGCTTAATTGTGGATTGAGATTATAAGGTATTTTTCTAAATTAATTTCCAATAAGTTGTAAAATTTGTAATTGTCTACGTAGTACTCTCTCCGTCCCTCAATTTTTGTCCACTTTTAACTTTTGGAACTGTTCATCTACGTATTTTGACTCATCAAATTCTCTTAATGTGTAAGCCTAAATATAGTCATGTGTGATCTTGTTTGATTTGTCTTAACATATAGATTATTAATATATAATTTCTATAATTTTTTAATATACAAATTACAAGATAAAATAGATTAAAAAAGTGTATTGGATGGTGTGTAAAAATCAAAGTGGACAAATACTCAGGGACGGAGGGAGTATTTTATAATTGAGATTTTTCCTTACTAGTCATTCTTAAAAAATGTAGATTAATTGAAAAATATTTTTGTGTTTTTATTATCTAAATTTAAAGCAAAATTTCAAAATGATCATATTTATAAAATTTCATGAAAAATTAAGACAATCATTAGCTATACATTATTAATGAATTATTCTAAAAATATTTTAAAGTTTGAATCAAATACACCTCTTAACTAGAAAATATGATTATGAAAAAGACTTCATTAGAAATGGTTGTTTTGAGAAACTTACTCTAAGTTTAAATAATGAAAAAACCAAAACACTCTCTACTTAATCGATATTTAAGTAAAATTTTCTATGAAAGTCCATGTGTGTGATAAATCTCAATGTAGGTAACTAGAACTTATGAAGAATTGATTTCAGAAAACATCTTATTAAAAAAAACTCTTTTACAAATTACTCTACCTTATAATCATCCAGTTTGATTTTTGTTGTCACTTTGATAATAAAATATATAAAAAATACATTTTATTATACTATATTTTTAATATAATTAAATTCATTTTAAGATGTGATTTTGATACATGAACGTTGTATATTATTTCTATATTTAAAATTAGAGTGATGTTTATATAGTCACAGTGTTCATATTTAAAATATAGATTTTCTCATATTTTTATTCGCTTGCATGAGGATACCTTTTTTTTACAAAAACCCCACTTTTTTCTACTACAAATGTACCAAAATTTATAAAATGAGCATGAACTTCGACTTATAAGGAAAAATGCTAAGAGTACATTAATTGGGTTACCCCAAATGTAGACTAGAGATTATTGCCACACAATTTAAAGTGTGAATAAAAATATTAGAAAGTCGATAAAGAATGTATGGTGAAGAGAGTTATCATGTACAAATCTAGCCTTACTCAACAATAAAAACTAGACTATAAAGTTGGAACCGAAAATGTATGATACTTGTGCGTCACTTAACATTTAAAGAATCTAATAAATGTGTAGCCGAAGGCATGAAAAAGTGTGCATGTGATACAAATTTTGAGCACCTCTTTATGTGAGCAAAGGAGTTAATGAGCTCACACCCTTCTACACCATTTGTCACTCTCATCTCAACTACCCATCTATCAATTCAAATACCCCAAGAAATCTCCCCCCATTAAAACCCCATTCCCATACCCCCAAGAATTCCTCCACCACCACCACCCTCCACCACCACCCACCACCACCACCACCACCATCCTATCTACATGGACTGGTTTTCATGGCTCTCAAGAACCAAAGAACTGGTAACGGTACAGATACTGATGCGGAACTAAAAGCGGGTGTTACTTGAGCTGGTTCTTCTGTATGGGAAGAAGTTGGTGCTCAAAGACGTCTCGTACCCTTAGAGGCAGCGGTTTGTGGCGGATCTCTAGGAGTTCGAGCGGCCTTTTCTCGTCTTCCCGGCCCCCTTCTTCTTTGTCCCCTGCAGTTTTGTCTGGTTCCTGTGGCTGGTGTTCGCGGCGAGGCAAGTGAAGACGAATCTCGGGAAGTGGGTTCGCCGCCGGGAGGATGCCGGCGGCAGCCTGGCGATCGTGTCGGCGAGGAATTGCAGCCTGAGATGGAAGGCGGCGATGCTGAAGAGGAACAAGACGGTGGTCGGCGGTAACAGTCAGGGGAGGCTGATGATGCTCACAAATTGGGGCAGTAAGGGCTCCGCTTCGGCTTCTCCGGAAACAAAGGGTCTTTCCGGCGGCGGCGGAGTGCAGCGTTCGCCGGCTGTTGGAGATCTGAAATGGGATTCGATGTTTCAGAACCTGAAGCCCACGTGAAAATATATTTGGTGAAGATATGTTAGTGTGTTGTCCAATCTTATTATTCCTAAAACTACGTAGTATATTTATTTAGTTTTGACTATTTACCATCAACTAAAATTGATCTTTTAGTTATAATTAAATAAAAAATATAAATTATTATTAAGATAAAATAATATTTTGAAAATATTTTATATGATAAATTAAGAAATGTTCTTGTACAAATATCTATTACAAAGCTTATTTAATTAATGATTGAAATTTATTAATTTTAATTGTACAAATATCTATTACAAATACTCTGGACCAAATGTATTACCAAGGACTAGGGAGTATTGTTATTTGCATTTCAAAGGGCCAAAAATGTTTGCACTTTAGAGGGCAAAAGATGGTTTTAGAAAGATATTGGAGTTTGATAATATTATTGTACAAATGTCATTAGTACTCCGTAACATTGAGTATTCATACTAAGATCATTTACATGATTATCATTAATATATTACGGAGTATGTAGTAAATATAAGAATGGTTAATTTGGTCCTAACTTTTACTTACACCTTTGAAATATACCTGCCCGTTACTTATATCAATCGTAACACGTGTAATTTCTCCTTGCTCTCCTGAAGTATGGTCTTTTTTTTAATCTTTTGCGTTGTGTTTATGTTTTTTTACTCATTTTTGTTCTAAATAATGCTCTTTATGCATCTTTTTTAATGTTACTGACTCGATTACAATATAATCTTTGTTCATATTATTCTCAATTTAATTACGCTCAAAGAGTCAATATTACATCAAATCGCTTAAAAGAAAAAACGAAAGAAGATATGAATGGGTACAAAAATAATTAGGATATAGATGGATCAATGGATACCGGCCCCATTGGTACAAAAAAGAGTAATGGCTTACTCTTAGGCCCAAGTCATTTTCAAGTTTGTCATTAGATCAATAAGTGCACGTTTAAATGTAGGTTGGTTGAAGAATGAATGATTTATGTATGGATAACATAGATAGATGCCAACCGGCAACACATCTTAATGAATGAGAGGCTGCCTTAAATTGTGCCATCATTGCATGTGTGGTTTAGCTATGCATTTGTTGTTTCTAAAATCACCAATTTGTACCAAAATGAGGTTGTGCAAGTACTCTATTTGTTGTTTCTACAAGTACTCTACTTGTGCCAAAATGAGATTTGCCTTTTTGAAATTTAGCACATCATCTTGAATAGTGAAAAAATATTTCTATGTGGCTCCGCTATATTACATATTTCTTCACAATCCTTCCTCGACAAAAATCGTGACTCTACTACGACAAGAAATCTACTCTTCGCATTACAAAAAAATCAATTTCGCATGATCATATGAAGCATGTTGGCTCTGATTGTATTTTTGTGCGGGACGAAGTCATGGCAAAAACCATAAGTACTTATCATGTTCCGTCTAGCGAGCAACCCACATACATCCTTAGAAAACCGCCTCCATCGACTTTGTTTCAGTACTTGTGCCCGAAGTTTTCCGTCGTTACTGTTAGGATAATAGGAGCAATTAATACATTATGATTTTATGTTGTTTACGTATTTAGTTTTCCTACTCTATTCACAATTCCTAATTTAGTTTGGAATTCTTATGTATTTCTCATATATTTTAAAATCTTTATTCAATAAGATTAATTATTATCAAATTATATTAGACAAGCACAGAGTTAAGCAACTATTGACCTCTTATAAAGGTAACAAAATTTGAACAGTCGTAAGGTGACGGGTGATCTAAATGATCATTAGTATGGTTGTCATTATGAGTACTTAACTAATCATCCATTCCGAAAATGAGGAGTTGCTACTTCAGTTACCCTATCTAATCATGCCGCTACACTTCAGTCTGAGACCAACTTGTATTGCATTCATAAAATACAACATTATAAAGTCTTCCGTTGTCCAAAGGTTCACATGTCTCACACATTTCATAGATTGACAAATGAATCTTTTTTTGCATAAGCGTAAATTCTTTTATGATATCAATGCACTAAGATCCATAAGATGAGCATGGACTTCATAAACATGAAAGGATTTGTTTATTACTACTTCCGTCCCTGAGTATTTGTTAATTTTGACTTTTTTGGTCAATTATTTTCAACCTTTGACTTATAATTAAATAAAATATATATTGTGTTAGCCTTGGTATGCTAAATCTCGTACTCTGATGTTAACAAAAAATATATGAGCTAACGTTTGTTTGAGTATTTCAGGTACAACAAGAATCCATTAAGAATTGGTTCTCAAGAACAAAGTTGAAACACCAAACTAGCGTAGAATATAGATTGAAAAATGGCAAGGATATTATTTTATATACCTATATTTTACAAGCTCAAATGCACTACAAAATATGTTTAAAACCTTCTTTTAATCATTTAAAAACATCTAGAAATTTTTAAACAAAATTGGAAAGGATTTGGCCAAAAATGAAAAATTATCACAGTGGTCAGGTACCTAGGTATTGGAAGGGATACCGTTAGGACAGCTACCGTCAGAGAATCTTGGCATGAAAAGGTATCCCCTGTCGTTAGCCTGGGACCCCCTACCGGAATAGCTACCGTAAGATAGGTATTGTCAGAGCCTTTTGGCTTGAGAAGGTACCTAGCTACATTTAGTCCGGGACCCAGGTACCGTTAGGCCAGTACCCCATACCATTAAGGCGGCACCGAGGTACCGTTTCAAGTTTCAATGGCCATATTTTTCAAAATTGATGATTTCCTTTCAAACCACTTTTAAACACATTTAATACTCTAAATCATCTCCAAACGGTTATATTTGATATTCAACAATAAATACAAATATAATCCTTCATTCTAAACAACAACCCAAGTCCCAAAACTTTATACTCCCTCTGTTCTCAAAAACACTTCCTCTTTCATTTTTTTCACTACCAACAAAACACTTCTCCTTTCTATTAAAAAACCACTTTTACCCTTACTTTTTCATACCTTACCTATCACATCATACTTTTTCTCTAATAATCAATCCATCACATCAGGGGAAAAATTGAAAGTCAACTATAATTTTACACTTCCTTAATTTGCCTTATTTTCAAAGTGGGAAGGGTTTTCTCAAACGGAGGGAGTATTTCATATTCTAAGTGTATTTATTCTTATGTTCTTCATTCTTATCATTTTGGCTATTTTAAGAGCCATATTTCTCCTAATTTTTATACACACACTATTGAACTTGTGGTATAGATATATAGTCTCATATCCATACAATTGATCTTGTATATTTTCTAGAGAGTCTATTCTCGTTCTACACCGGGTAAGTCCCATTCTTCATCCTTAAGTTAAGCGGTTGTGTATCACTCAATTTTATAATCTCAAACACACCTTCTTACGATAGAGAATAGCTGTTAAATTCTCAGTTAGAGCGGCAAAGGATAATCGAGAAATCCCTGGGTAAAAGGTTCGAAGATAGCCTTCAAATCCTTGGGAGAAACGGTTGGAGATAGCCGTGAAATCTTCATTTTAAGCGATTCGAGATAGCCGTTGTGGAATCTTGGGTTAAATCTTATTGGCAAGTGTTGTTTTTCAAATCTTGTTCGGTGCTTTGACGGGGTTCAAGAGACCGAGGACTTAGGCCTTGCTCTCCCCAACTTATTTTTTAACTTATTACTTATTCTTATTGGAATCCGATCAGATCAGACCAGATCAGATTAGAAATAGCTTTAAATATAACTACATTCAGATCTAATAAGAACTTATTCCAATCAGATCAGAACCAATCGGATCGGTTGAAGAGAACGTGACCTTAGTGGATTCGGAAATTCTTAAGGAGGAGTCTTAAGGTACTAGAGTATGAAGTTCCCGAATCAGTCTAAAATTAGTGTGCCTTTACTCTACGCTTTATTTCTGCATTTTCTTTATTGCTTCCGCATTTGTCAATAACAATTTTACTTATTCCAAAAAATTTCAAACGCCTTATTCACCCCTCTAAGCTAAGGCGTGGGCACATCGACTAGCATATTGTATATTAATTAGATAGAATAATATTTTGAAAATATTTGATATAATAAATCTAATAAAATTATTTTTGTATTAATATCTAATACACGTATCTTTTTTTGTTTTATTTGAGGTTAAAGTTTATCAATTTTGACCAAAAAAGTCAAAAGTAAACAAATACTGAAAGACGGAAGGAGTATAAATTTGGAATAAGGGTCTCATTTAATTCGATTTCGGGGTTGTTCATATGTCCTCGTTGTAATCGTTATATACTACCTCTATCCTGATGTATTTATCTAGTTTTAATTTTTTAATCATCAAAATTGACAAAGTTTAATGATTAATTAAATGAAATAGATATTAGATAAATATCAATACAAAAATAATATTATTTAATTTTTTTTATATAGTGTTTATCAAAATATTATCTTATTTAATCAATATATTTTAATAATTTTATTTAATTATAAATCTAAGATAAAAAATGATTAACAGGAAAAATCAAAATGGAAGGTGTGACAAATTTCTTACAATCTAGGTTTGCCATTACTTTTAGGGGATAGGTGTGACAAATTATTTCTTTCTATTCTGTTTAAATCTCACTGCTTTCAAAAAAAATTAAAAAATCTCACCCCAACAATATTATCTTTTCCTTTAACTTTGTAAAAAGGAAGTTCCTAGGGGACTGACGATCTATGCTTATTTTGATGCATTTGGAATTTATTATAAACCTTCAGTAGTTCGTCACAAAAAAAGAGCACACTTTGACTTTAATTGTCAAAGTGTGTAGTTATAAATTGTAAAAAAAATATATTTAATTATAAACTAAACTTAGAACAATTTTCTTCATTTTAAAATATACAAAGTGTTTTGATGCGAGAGACTTTTGATAATTGGAGAGTGCAGAGGTAGGGGTAGACCTAGGACGAATTGAAAGGAGGTGGTTAGGCAGGACTTATGACATTTGGCTCCTACCGAAGATATGACCTTAGATAGAGACGTCTGGAGATCTAAGATTAGAGTAGTTGGGTAGTCGTTTAGTCTAGGGTGCTAGTTTTGTTCGTGTTGTGTTGGCTTGACGTATTTCTTCTTCGAGTTGGTTAGTTACCTTATCCCTAGCTATGTGTACTCTTATATTCTTGTTGTGCTACTTGATTTTTGTGTTATTTGAACTTGGGGTCTCTTGAAAAACAACTTCTTTACTTTTAGTGAGGGTAAAGTCTGCCTACATACACCTACCCCATACCCTAATTTTGAGGGATTCTACTAAGTTGTTTTCAGTGGCGGATCCTGAAACTTAGACAGTAGGGGGCATCAAACAGGGGTCTGGGGGCAGCACCTCAAGACTATTTTTTAATTCAAACAATGCAAAACATTGAAAAATAATGAATTTAACCTCAAAAAATTATCCAAATAGTGAATTTAAAAGTTTAAAGAATAAAATTTCTATATATGGATTGCATTATAACTTAGTTTAGTTAGTATATATTTTTAGTGTTTCACTTTCAATTTTATTTTTGTGATTTTTTAAAATTTGACTTTAAGATTATA